TCGTTGATGTATAATTTTTATTTAAACTGCATAAATACTCTGTTAGTACACTTCCGCTATAAAAGCAGCTGCTGCTGATGGTTACGAGATAGAAGAGAACCGTGATAAATTTTTGTCGATCGAGCGTAACGTTCTCGCCCCGAGGCGTGTCGTTCGTCTCGAAAAACTGCTGATTGCTGTCGAAGGAGTTACTTAACAGTTGCCTAAGAGATTTCCGCCGTTTTACTGCCGAATAACCGATCACCGCGTTACGTCAGGTCGTTGAAATTTCTCGAAATCTCCGAGAGTTCCGTGCTCGCGAATAATAGTGGAATTCAGCCTCCTCTTAATGTGTGTCTCGATTCCATGTACGCGAAGCGGAAAACTGTAATTGCGGTTTAGTCATATTTGATTTTTATCTAATATTATATTGCTGTCTTACAAGATCGAGAGTCTAGCACGTTGTAATTAAACTCTTCACCTATCTTTTACAAGCAATTAAATATGAAAATGAAGAAGATACGAGCGATGTGAAATCTCTGAATATTTTTAAATTACAAAGTGAATATATAAACAGAATAATTGAATCGAAGTAGACCGTGGATTTGTAATTAATATAACGTTTTACATGAAATGAAATAAATTTACATGCAATTAATGACGAAAAAAAACTGGTTTTTAATAATGTAAATATGTGTACGGGTTAACAGTAAATGCAAATTTTCATTTTTAACATTCTAAACGAAGTTCTCTTTCTTTTATTCATAAATCAGTTTATTTAGAGTAATAGACTTATCAGGGTGATAATTTTAAATTTATATCAGCCACGATACCGTTTAAGACTATAAAACTGGCTTATTTCATATACTGGGTAAACATGGAAGGGGAATCTGGCCCACTAATCTTGCTCCTAGGAGATTGTTTAATGTTTATTTTATGACACAATTCATATCGCAATTCAAATATGCTACACGTATGTAGCAGCCGGTAGATACACCTTAACATTCTACGGTATCGAAATTATAGTCTTAAGATAGCTATCGACTTTGATATCTAATTGGTTTCCAGAAACTGCTGTGTTAATCTTTCAATAATTTATTCGCTGATGCTTGATTCCAATAAAATTTGTATTTTTGTAGAATTGTAGATAAAGTTCATGGAAAATGTTTAGGAATTCTGGTCGTTCTAGGATTGAATATAAACGGGAAACGAGTAGGGACTTCCCTTTAAACACGGCGGTTTTTGCCCTATTTCAGGCCTGTTCACGGTCGAACGATGATAATAACGGCAACCAAGGCTTCTCTACTTATCGAGGTAGTCCGACGTCGTTCGAAACGTATTTGTCAGTGCGTTGTTACCTTACCACCGCAAAAAACAGACCGCGCCTCCAGTCTTCACGGATTGATATTCCTTTAACTAGACATTCAAGTACCCTTCATCAGTTTAACCGTGAATCTAAAGAAATAAGGAAATGACCGAACATTTATCAGAAGTGTTTGATTGCATGATTTTAATCATTTTTAGGGAAAAGTTGCTGTGGTTATCTTCAGCTTCATCATTCCTGTCATTTTTAATTGCACGAAATTAAATGTTGTTTGATTGTATAGAGATCAGAGATGCTGGTTATAATCAATAATTAATGAGGTGTGACAATTTAGTCGATTGAGGATAGACCTTCGACGATACTTTCACATCTTGGTTTTTTACGTACGCTATTGTTACACGACCTTGACTCAAAAAATTGTTCCCAGACTGGGAGTTAATAACGACGATAACGATGCAAATATCCTTCGCCGGTGGAAGGGTCACATTATCGATCGTTACGATAAAGATTCGCTAACTGGCGGCCGATTTACGGGACACCTACCTATTCTTTTCGGCCTCGGTGCGCTCTTAATTATCGTAAATTACGGGCCGCTCGCATGGTAAATTATTATCCTTTACACTTTCACTTTCTGGAACAACTCCTCGAGTCTTCAATCTATGCCACGTCTCGAATATCTACGTGCCAGGTTGAAAGTTGAAAGCTGAAGAGTAACGACTTCGGAGTCCTTCGTGCGGGATCAAGAATAAAATATTCATCGATTTGAATACGTTCGAAAGTGCTCTTCAGCGTTACAATTTCTTGTATAAGCGACTGGCTGGTTTAGGAAATTTCGTAGTAAATACTATGAAAATGGAAACAATATACTGTTTCCATACAAATAAATCAATGAGCAAATTTCATAGTATTTATTATGTTCATAATTATAGTAATACTATTGAAAAATAAATAGGAAAAGAAAGCAGTATATTTTTTCCTCTTTTTTAAAGCTGCATTCTGTTTTTATATAATTATTAATATTTCGCTGTACATTCTAAATATAATTCATTGCCACACAAGAATAAATTTAATACTGTTTACTATGAAATTTACACTCGTGTTGCAATGAATAATTGTTCGAATTCTTATCAATACATTTACAATAAAAATAAATGCATCCGTAGTAAAGGGGAAAAAGTAAATCAGTGAGTCACTGTATAATATTTGCGATTAGCTTTGAACAGTGTTTCAAGCTTTAACACTCTAACTTCCTTTGACGTCTGTCAAATGGAAATGAAGTTCCTAACACAAGCGTATAATATTCTCACTAATGTATTCAGTCATTAAAATACGATCTTTCGTTGGATAAGTCTCGCAATTCAAAACCATAATTTCAGCGACGTGTATTCAGTTTCTTGAGTTTATTGTTGGCTGAAACAATATTCTTGACAGTACGACCGTTGCTTCAGAGTATTGACAGTGTCTCGCGTTTATGCGGAACTTTCCACGGAGAACTGCAACGCATAATGTTGCCATAACAATCGACGATACGAGTAGCATTTGTCGTGAGCCGATATACGAAGATTGGTATCGTTGCAGTAGGAAACGCGACCAAGTGTTTCCTTTTCCGTGCAAACGGAAGTGGTTTCAGATACGGGGTTCCCTTTGACCGATCTACCTCTTTCATTATTCAGTCCAAGCTTTGCCTCACCGGTGGGAAGTTTCTTTTTGAGAAAACTTCCCGAGAGCTTCAGGAGTTCTATCATTTTTTCTATACCTCTGAATTGCTTTTCCTGCCACTTGAGCATTACTTTGGAAAAAAGTTTTTCTTAGTCTCTCATGGAATTTATTTTCTAAAACTTAAATAGAAAACTATTTCTCGGGCATCGTCTAAATGCATTTTTTCTCTGATTGAACTTAAGTCGTTAATCGTTTTTCATGCAATTTAAGTCAGTTTAAACTATTGAGTGGCCGAAGTGGCTCGACCTTCCAAACACTTTCGACGTATTTATCTGTCCTGCAATTTTGTTAAATTGGTTGATTTCTGGCTACAGGTCGGCCTTGCAGACGTTGCACAAGGTGTCGAGCAAGGCACGCGAACAGAACTACTTCCTGGGTGGCTTGTCGCACGATTGGGTCAGTTACTATGAGCAACGAATCGAGAGTGATCGCTCGTGTCTCAACGAGTGGCACGCCATGGACAATCTGGAGTCTCGGAGACCACCGTCGCCGGACAGCGTACGCAACAAGTAAGTAGTACCAATTGCGAATTCAATTTTGTCTATCCGACCTCTAATCGAATCGCAATTACATTATATAACTGAGATTCTTTTATTAATTTTCGATTTCTACCAGTGGAATCAAGTATTTTAATATTGTATTTACAAAAAGAATATTTAAAATCTGGCAGTTTGAATGGATTACTTTGGGTTTGAACGAGGGAAACGAACAGCTGTTACCGCGAGTTTAACTTGGTGTTCTGCCAAAGCCGATGGTTCGTTGATGTACAACTCTCGTTCTTGATGATAGCTTAGCACACGGACACGCCTTTATCGCTATCCTTCAATTATTTCCAGTTTTTGCCTCTGTCCGCCATCTGTTTGAAACGTCGAGCTCGCAGCAGGGTATTCGGTCGTTCTTAAGTAGATTTCAAGATTGATTCCAAGAGTTGTTTCAGTCTTGCATAGATAAATAAATTCTCAAATAAATGAACTCAAATTATAATGACACTGAAATCTGTGTTTTCGTATGTGTGTAATTTTATTTTTTGAATTGTGTTTGCGGCAGACCCAGAGAAAGGGACGAGACTGAACGCGTGATCCGATCGACGTTGAAAGAGATCATGATGTCCGTGGATCTCGACGAGGTAACGTCGAAGTATATTCGAGGCCGTCTCGAAGAAGACCTCGATATGGACCTCGGGGAGTTCAAGTCGTTCATCGATCAGGAGATGCTCACCATTCTGGGTCAGATGGATGCGCCGACTGAAATATTTGACCACGTTTACCTAGGAAGCGAGTGGAACGCGAGCAACTTGGAGGAGCTCCAGAAGAATGGGTAAGTTTATCTTTTGACAAACTGCTACAGAAGAATCTTCAACGAATGATCTATAATATTGGGTCTTCCGGAAAGTCTGCTCCCGATTTTTTATGGGTGGATTAGAACAAATCTAGGAGTATCAGAATGATTTAAAACAAGGTATATGTCCTAAAAGGTGATATTTTCTTAGAAAAAGTCATTATTCAGTGAGATTATGACGATATTTAATAAAGTAATTCTTATGGAGTGAAATAAGAATCGTAATTACTGCGTTTGGAATTTTTAACAATTTTATTCCAAACAATGATTATTCTAAATAAAATAAGGAGTGTCCTGCAATATACCTTAAACTGAACATAACTAATTTTGTCTCGGTTCTCTGGAAAGTAAATATACAGAATCGAATGGTGTAAATGTATATTTTGCACTATTTTTAGGGATAGAATTTTCAAATTGCATGAAAGATTGAAAAAGGTTGTGAAATAGAATAGCACGTATATAATTCAATAAATCAATAAATAAAAATTTGAATGCGCTGCTTTCATCTATAGAAATCGGAATGAACTTTCCAAACAACCCAATATATCGCTGTATGAAATAGTATATTTAATATAATACATAAAGCCATAACAAATATATTAATATAAATATTATTTAGGATATTGCAATGTGATTCCTAGTACTTGATGCCTATTATTTGTTACAGTGTCAAGCATATCCTGAACGTAACACGGGAGATCGACAACTTCTTCCCCGGGATGTTTACGTACTTGAACGTACGCGTTTACGACGATGAGAAGACCGATCTACTGAAGCATTGGGACGACACGTTCAAATATATCACGAAGGCGAAGAAGGAAGGTTCGAAGGTGCTGGTGCACTGTAAAATGGGAGTGTCGAGGTCGGCCTCTGTGGTGATCGCGTACGCAATGAAAGCGTACAATTGGGACTTCTCCCAGGCGTGGAAGCACGTCAAGGACAAACGGAATTGTATCAAACCTAACAACAACTTCCTGCTGCAATTGGAAACCTATCAAGGTATACTCGACGCGATGAAGAACAAGGAAAAGCTTCAGAGGTCGAAATCAGACACGAACTTGAAATCTCCTACCTCGGTGAAGGATCAGTCGAAGAAAGAGGAGAAATCTGACAATGTGGACAACGGATTGCAGTCTGTTTCGGGATTCGAACTGAAGAAGAGCAGCCAGAGGCCGAAGAGTTGGTCGCCGAACGTGAAAATCAGCGAAATCATGTTGCCTTCTGGTACGTCACTGTTTATTTTATCTCATCGAAAATTATAACATGTTTTTCTCTATGAATTTCAAGCAATAATCGGTATTTACTTTACAGTTCCCCTATCGCAGTCTCTTGAGAGCATCGATAAGACAGGGAACACGGAAGTAACGAGGGAAGATCTCCTCCGTTCTGTAGACCAGAAGACCGGTATGCCTCGGAACGTGCTGATGCCATGCGATAACGGACAGAGGACGGAATCCTACAGCGTGTCACAGAATCAGATCGTCCACCTTCCAGGACCCTCCCCGGACACGCCGAGCGTGAAGAAGCGCGTCAGCAAGTTAGAAACTCAGGGTCAGAGAAGGAAAGGTTTAGTGCTGAACCTGACGAACCAGTTCGAGGCAGTGAGTAGCAAACCGTCTTCTCCGAGTTCGGACTCCGACGGGAAACCACTGCCGCAGAGTCCAGTCTCCGGTGTCAACGAGAATGGACTCGACTTGCAACAACCTACCGAAACGTTGTCCATTAAGCAGGAGGTTTGGGATCCTGGCGAGAAGCAACGGAAGAAGGCGGATACCGGTAGTAATAGTGAATGTCTAGTCTGGGCTGCATCGACCGATGCAACGTGTACCAATTCGTGTAGTAACGCTAAGCCTAACGGGGAAGTGAGTGCGGAAAGTGAGTGCGCCGCGACGAGCACGACGACGGTATACCCTGGCACGTTGCCGCGGCGAGCCAGGAAGGAGGGTGACCCGTTCAGCACGCAGGTCGACCGGGTGTTCGACCGCGAGGAGAGGCACGGAGAACCGGTTACGAGGGACTCGCCGAGCCGGCAGAGCTCCTGGAGCAGTTACGACAGTGCCGTGGTCCTCGACAATTCGGTGCATAGTTCCTGGGCGACGCTACCGTCGAGGAACAGTTCCTGGGGCTCGTACGACATGCGTCCCCCGGACTTCCTCGGCTCCAGCGGCCTTTTCCCTTATGATAAAGAGGAAATACCGTGGCATCCGGGTACCGTGAAACGCACGAAGCAGAAGCTTGAAGAGAACACCACGTCTGGGACGGTGAAACGCGTGTGCACGCAGAACTCCGACGCCGAGGAGAAGGACAGATTGCCCGCGGAGGAGGAATCGTACAATCCGGTGCTCCTGCACCATACGGCTTCGCCCACGCCGCGAAGAAGGGACTCGTCGCCTAGCCAGGAACATAATTTAAAAGTTGATGCTGTTAGGAACACCCCGAGTCCCATCAGAGGAATCGATATCTCGCCGGCGTCGATTCGTCAAATTGGCAGACTGTCGACGAGTGCGCCGGCCTCGTCATCCCTCTCCTCGGATACAGACCTACCGTCGTCGTTAAGGTCCTGCAGGTCGGAGAGCGAAACCTCGAGTCCGTGCGTGGTCAACACCACCCAGTGTTCCTCCGTGAAGCATCACAAGATGGTCCTGGAGAATCTGAGCAACAAGTCGATGTTCAGCAAACGTTGCCTGTCCGTGGACGATTCGCCGGAGGCCGAGTGCCCGCGGAGTACCTCCGGCATTGTACAGAATCTCAAGAAGGAGTTCGAGGCGAAGACCAAGCTGGAGAAGAGTCCGGAGAACAGTTTCGAGAACGATTCGCCGATCGCCGTCGGACGACCGAAGAGGGACGTGAAGATCCGCAGTTTGCCATCGTCGCCGGTGATCCCTCACAACGAGTCGAAGATTCAAGCCCCGTCCGAAACCAAAGAGAAAGAGAAATCGCCAAGCGAGTCGTCGTCCTCATCCTCGTCCTCATCCTCGTCGTCGTCGACGTCTTCGTCGTCGTCGGCAGGAGCCGCGCAGGACAACGGCTTGGAAGACCGATCGGTCAGGGTTCTGGTCGAGAAGTACGAGGTGAAGCCGGCCGACGTGAAGGACAGAAAATCGACGGAGATTCAGCTGCGCGTGCACAAAGACAAAGACTGGGAGCCGATCGACTCGCAGCACAACAAATCCGCGAAGACCACGCCCGAATATAGTAGAAGGTCCGCGCCGATCCTGATCAATAATCACTCCTCATCGCCCCTGTTCGCCGAGGCGACGCCGGAAGCGCCTGGCAGGCCGCCGGTTCCCGGCATCGTGGCAGCTAGCAAGAAACAGCAACAGCACGGCAGAACGCATCCTTTGGCCAGGCTGCAGGTCAGGCCTAGGCACAGCAGTCCGGTTTACAACACCATGTAAAGAGGAACCGTTTCATTTCGGTCGTGTTGTTTCTCACTTTCTTTCCTCTTTATCTCGGTTTCTTGTTTCTATCTACACGTGATTTCGATCAGTCGAATCCTGATGAGCGCGCGTACCTGAATGCAATTGGGTATGTGTCTGTCGTGGCCACGATATGAAACTGTGTGATCTCTATTTGATGCCAACGAGTCACGAGGATCGGGTCCTCCTCTCGAGCTCGGTATAATCGACGGGGACATGATTTTATAAATAAGAATCCGCTTCCCACCATCTTCGATGTATGTACAATTTTACTGTTTCGCGAGAGAGAGAAAGAATGTCCTTGTAAACTATGCTCTGGAACGATAAGGCAGAGCACCCGTATTTTTTCGATGCTTGTTCTAAGTAAACGCCACGGTCCGTACGAGCTTCTCGTGTTCGAACGCGTAAAATTTGTCCGTGTGATATATATATATATATATGTACATGTATATATATATATTTGTGTTCGCTAGTTTTTTAGTATCTCCGTTCGATGAAATTTACGTGATTTATTTAATTCGGTAATGGGATCGGTATATTTATTGTCCCACAGCTTACGGCGTTGGATAGCTGCCCGATGGATCGCTTGCGAAATTATATTTTTGCCCAAAATTTAGGTAGAGATGTTACATCATTACACTATTTATCATTATGTATTCACCTAGCAAATAGTATTTTTACATTTACTGCCAATGAGAAGCAGTTTGTTTAAAAATAAACGAAAGCAACAAAAAAAAAGAAGAAATGGAAACGAACAGCAAGAATGATAGGTCTTCTATGTGTCGAAAAGATACAAGTGCCTTGTCCTACCGTCAACGTCTAATTATACATAATATTTGTAATAATAAGGCACGTTCAAAGGTCCTTCAACGTTTTTATGTTCCTTCTTCGTCAGACGTGTCTTGGCCTGCTCTTAATTAGTTCAATTATTTTTTAAGCTGGAAATGCAACAATTCTAGGATGACGCGGACGCAACACTGTTATTCCTACGGCGTGTCGTCGGATTTAAAATAGTGACCTAATGGGCTTGGAATCAAACGTGATGTGTAATTTTGTCTGTGCGTATCGCGGGGCGTCGCCGCGCAAAAGTCGGAGCCAGCGTGCCCCACGCATCTGATCGTGAATGCATGATTTCGCGTCGGACTCGGTCAGGCTGTGAACGAAAGGTCCGAGCCCCGCGAAAGGTAATAGTACTGATCTGCGCTGACTCCCTCTTTTACGTTGCTTACTTACGTTGCGATCGCCGAAACGCGCCCCGAGATGAAGAGATTCTATGCGAAAGAAAAGCAAGCAAAAAAAAAGAGAAAAAGAAATGGACACCTCGGAAACGGCGGCGTGTAACGTTTAGCTGTACTGTATTTAGTATTTTAGAGCGAACAATGTGATTAGGATGGTGCACAGTATGCGAGAAGACGAAAGTAGCAAAGGAAAACCCTTCCTCCCCTCCCATTATTTCCTGGATGAAGCCCGACTTCGAATCGTTCGAACGATTCGTTCGACCAATCGTTATGGATTCTTCTATCCCATTTTTACTCATCACTTTGTATATCATGTGTAAAGCATCGTCGTGCGAACCCGCAGTCCTCTCTCCTCTCTTCGTCCGTCTCGTTTTCACAGTTTTCGTTTTCGCATCTATCGTGACGTCTTTCCTGCGTTCTTCTTCTCCCACTCTTTACTTTTCTCCCTTTTTTTATCGACCAGTGACGACGATTGCCTATCGAAGATTTTACCGTGACATCGCAATTTCGGAAAGTATAATGAACAAAAAATATATATATATATATGTATACATACACCGCTCGGTATCAGCGTTCGTCGTTCTTAAACATATCATCGGATGTCGTTCGTTCTCGTTTGCGTTTTTTGCCATGTCGACCAATTTTATACTACTTCCCCTGATATTGATGATGATGATGATGATAATGATGATGAATGCGAGGCTCGTTTTTTGATAAAGGTGCACCGCGACGATTGTGTGTGTGTAGAAATATATTTTATTACGGAGATAATTTTGCAGAATAATTTTTCTCGTAACGTTAATTCTAATCGGTGCCTCGTCCCTCGGACGAAGTATTATCACCAACCGACGGCGAGGAACGATCCCGAAAGCGAACGCTATTAAAAGAAGAAATAAGAAAAAAAAAACAAAACAAACTGTAACATGTTAAATTAGAATAAAAAGAAAGGTGTTACATCGCCAAACGCTCTGTGCTTTACAACGTCGAAATTCAGAATTGAATCGCTCGTCGCTCCATTTATTTCTTACGGAATTTGTACAGGCAATCATCTTCGAATAATTTGTATACAATTTCTACAACGTCCCGGCATGAAAGCGAGAAGTTTTCTTTCTTCCTAAATTATCCGCGTAACGAAGAACTGTATAATAAATGAGTCAAACACTGTTCGAATTGCCATTTTTTATGTCTGATACCAGTTGCACCGCAGGCGTCGATCAAAGACTCGTTTTTGTGGAAGAGTTTATTTCTCGAGTGCGCGTACATATTTTGCGTACACGTATTATATCGCATCAAGAAACCGAAGAAGAAAGTCGGTCATCAAGCCGGTTGAGCATCTATTTCGTACAGCCGTCTGCCGGCGCAGAACGCGAGCTGCGGCACGATCGAAAGGGTCCTTGTTTTCTTCGCGTGTTTCGGGTTCACTGGGCCGACGTCCATGCCGTACGTCCCGCCCCTTAAATTTCTGATCATCGCCAGTGTCTGTAAAGAGAACCTCATCGTCTGTATAAAACCTAATGCGAATGTAGAAACATTTTTTTGGATATCTTCCAGAAATAAGAATTTGAACATTATTTTCAAGTAAATATCTTTCTATTCTTAAAGGTTCGAAAGGGTAGAATGTAAATTTTCATAAATAAGATCAATCATTTTCTTTTCCATCATAGTTGTACAAAACGGAGTTTGAGATTCTAGCCAACTCATTTTTCATTCCGATAGAAAAATAAGTTGTATCGAATAAAATGTTTCTGGATTTGTGTTGAGCGCGGGAATTTTTCGTTGAAAATTAAACGAAAGACGGAGATTGAAAGAACAAAACTCACCGCGTGTGATCGCAAATCGATTACCCTGAAGAGATTGATGTCACAGCCGCCGCAAGCGAGAAACATGTTCGACACGTACTTGCCACAGTAGAGCATGGAAGAGTAGCTGTCGGGCTCGAGGGAAACGAGCAACTTTCCGGTACGATAATCCCATAATTGGATAGGGTTTTCCCTTTGCCAGGAGCAGGCTAAGATCTGTTCGCGATTAACTGTTAGTTAAATACAAGAATCACTGGACCGTCTATATATATAATTCCTAAGCGAAAAATTAGGACGCGTATTCTTTTAATAATAATTCCCTGTGTAAACCTATATTGCACAATCGACTCCTGTTTCATTTCACTCGAATTTGGGTCAGTTTGACTCCAGAAAGAATTTTGATAAAACTCTGATTTTATTTAATATGATGCTTTTAACTTAATGGAAATCGTTATATAATTATTTTATTGGTGATTTAAAAGATTTTTTATATATGACATTACTGCCTAATTGTTGATAAAAATTGTGAATAACTTTTACTGAATTTAAAATGAATTCTAAACCGCATGAAATCAATTCTTCAGAAAGTGTCAAAAATTTGAATATACTTTAATATTTTTATACAATATTGATAAAACATCGATTTATGTACAACAAAACTTTTACATAGTTTATAAAGAAAACGTTGTTACGAAGTTTTGAAGCTAACACACTGCCCTGTTTCAAGTTTTTCTATGCCATGTATTTCGAGCTTGAAAACACCTAATGAACGAGATTGTTTGCTTTCCACATTTACAATTTTTAGAAACGAATTCCAGAAAATCTTGATTATTAGGTACATTTCACTGAAATGCAATAAATTGCGTATTATTAAATAAAGTTTGTCGAATCGATAATCTATTCAAAGGAAACAAGCTGACCCATCAATAAACGTATTAAAAGTTCTCTATACCACGTTCTGAAAATTTTTATCGAACCAATTTGAAATCCAGTGACTTCAATTACTATAAATGTCACACAGTAATTGCAGAAGAATTGAGTTACACAATTTTACTGTGAATTTCATAATTGGTTAAATAAAAGAGTGACGATGAAAAATGTATTAAAACAAGGAGCCGGGTTTCCACAATTTTTATACATTCGCCGCGTGAGAAAGTCTGTTGAGATGAGACAGTTGATTTGGAATTCTGAATGAAACGTGACACCTGATACCTCTCTTCCATTCTTGCTGATGTCGAGGCCATCGCCGCACATGTGAACGCCCGATATTCGCCTGAGCGCGTACGGTTGCCTAGTATCCCAGAACTGAATGGTATTGTCCCAACCGGCGCTGATCAGCTCATGGGCCGATTTCGGGTTGAAGCAGGCGCTGAACACTCTCGATTTGTGACCGTCCATAACTTCCAATGAATCGCTAAACGGAAATAGATGAGAAAAGAACAAAGAGAACTATTTACATGTTAGTTTGTATCGCGCTTAGAAGAGATTTGCTGTAAGTAAAAAAAAAAAAAGAAAACAAGAGAGAGTGCGAAGTTCGACGAGTTGTGTAAATTAAAATTGTATGAATCCGAACGAGGTAAAGGAAGCTATTCTTAATTAGCTGTTCGCGTCAGTGGACGGATTTGTAAATGAACGAGGATTTATGTTTTAAGATCGTCGATGGTGGATCCGTTTGTAAATAATAAAACAGCGGGAGTAACCGCAGCAGAAGTGAACGCAAATAGAAATATGATAAGCAACACTGCCTGAATTATAGGCTTACCCCGCTTCGTCCCCTCGATCCCGAACTTGTATACCTTCACGTGCCTTCGTAACGAATTATTCATTAAAATATTATGAAATACGTCAGTGATTCAATACCTCCACGAGGACTTTTACAGCGAATTCGTTGAAACCGCCGGATGTCATATCTTTTTCTTTTGTAAATACCGAGAGTTGAATCAATTAATTCGACGTTTGTGCACGAACTAACGTTTTTTAAATGTCGGGTATCGTAAACAATACCGCGGTGAATCTCGGGATTTGTCGGTAAATATTCCGCAAGCTATCGTCAATCAAACAAAGCCGACGTTACATTTGTTCCGCAAATACGTTTTAATTCTGACATGGAAGTAAAACGTAATAACCGTGAGAATCATTTTTCGTCAGAGACCGCTCGCTGGAAGCAGCGGACCGTTTAAGATAGGACGATTTTTTTCGAATCGCGTTATATTTTTAGACGAAACTGTCTCACGTCGGCCTAGATGTAATCGTGAAGAAAACCACGGCGATTATGCTGTTCTATTTAACTAGGGAAAATCTATCGCGGACACCTGGTGCGAGTTTATTTGATTCGAAACGATCGCGAGCAGTTAGTCTTGATCAAAAATTGTGCTGCAATCACGCTTAACAAGACCAAGGTGACATTGGAGTCTTCAGTCTTCAAGACTTTAATCCGAAACACTTCAATGGACCACGTTAGATTGCAGTGTACAACGCAAAATTGGTTTTGTTCTTCAGAATAGTTATTATATCGGTTGTACAGGGTGAACCACGAATCGTGATCAGTAGAGATTACTTTGTTATTATATTAGCAGTCTGATTGAAAATGTTTTTATCAGATATAATATGATTTCAAGAAAGCTTTTGTGATTATAGTAAATTTTTTGTTAACTCTTCTTTATCATGATTTATCAAGGTGATTTTCTATTTTTTTGCATTAAACTTATAACTTTTCTAGGCCTATCTATTAGACGATTTTAACTTAGACTGCTTCAAAATTTAGACTGTTTCAAGAACCGGAACCGATATCACATAACTATTTTCAATGCTTTTATTAAACTATCGAATTGCATGGTATCATCGAATGTTATTTTAACACACCCACCTTGCCTGGAAGACTCGCTCTTGTATTTTGGTCTCTTCATCGTATAGGACAAGCTTTGCATCGTCGCCTGTAGTAACAAATTTCGGCAGGTGGGCATGATAAGCCAAACCTAACGTCTGCCTCTTCTCTCGTATGGTGTAGAGACATTGCAATGTTGGGTAATGCCAGCACTTCACGCAGCCACTAGCATCTGCACATATATTAGCAGAAAAATATTCTTTTTCCAATGAAGCATTAATTATTAGTACAATGTTTAAAATTCAATTTCTAGAATAGTTTAATTTCCGTCTCTAAAGGAGTGAAAGAGAGTTAAATGCTTTTCCCCCAATTTCTTGACTTGTCTTGGAAAATATGAAGTATCAATTTGGTTCTTATGTACAAAAACTACTTAACGGATAACTTTCTGATTGACTGACTCATTTACCCATCAATGTTCGGCTCAAATTACTGCACCTATTCACTTATGTGCAATTTTGGAGATTGTACTTCTATATTAAATAGTGCTGTTTTATTGGTTCATAGCAATGTTTTCTGTTTTATAAACAAATATATGACATTCAAGTTAGTGTTCAAATTTCGTTGTAAATACTTCTATCGTTTTTATCATTTTCGTTAACATACAAACAAACAAACATTGTTCCTTTATACAAAATTCGTATGTTTTACGTCATATGTAATTGTTTGGAAAGTCGATGCTTCCACTATCTCAGAAAAACTATATTTCATAGGCAAAAAATTCCCCATTCCTGGTATTTCGATCGAATACTAACAGGTTGCAATGAGGGTACGTGTGACTGGATAAGATTTTCGAAGGGGCCTGTGCTTAATCGCAGTCGTTGGACTCGGCTGTTGCACCGTTTCCATGTCACGCAATTCTGAAACTTCCCCGCTGATGCATTTATACAATTTGATGGAGCCATCTGTCAGGCCTGCCGCCAGAAAGTCAAACGTCTCCGTGTAACACACGCAAAGAATATCTTGCTCGACGTCTCTAAAAGTAATTTATCAGCTAAAATCCCATCAACGCAGTCTAAGATATATGTATTGATGCAACAATTGATTTCAAATCGATATCACTTTGCATTGAAACAAATGATATTCTAGTAGACAATTTCTATTTGATGCATCAGAATAAAAATTCCTCTTTCTATTCTTCTAATTTTACTTAAAGCTGATTTTGCATACATTTGTTTGGTGATAGTTACGTTTTCGTCAATGTGAACTCGTTCTGATTTTGTGCTACTTGTAGGCCCTACTTCCATCATTTTTGACAGCTTCAATTTCATCGATACTGTTGGCAACGTACGTTTATAACGTTACGCGAGATTATATTATTAAATCAACAATAGAAAATTCAGTGAGAGAATTCCAATACTTTTTATAATTTGTAAAATATCAGCATGAATCTTTAGATTTAAAACTAAAATTTAACGACACACACTTACCATTGCAAGTAGAATTTAATTTTCTGTATTGTAACCTAGAAACTCGTTCTCGATACTTTACAATCTATTTACTGATCAAATCATGATATCTTACTAAAATTACGTATATTAAATTATATACACATTTTATGTATTACATAAAAAAATTTGAGGCTAGATTTTTACAAAGCCTACAAAATACGAAGTGACGATCGATTTTGCAAAACTTCAAATACGTTCTCTTCTATCTCCATAAAAATTGTATACGTCTACGAAACTTGAATATAAATTTATTCTATTAAATTTGATGTTATTTGAAATGTTTGCAATTTGAAATAATTCTTCATAAAAGTATTAAAATGAAACAACACCTCAATCGCGTTAACGAATGTTAAGTACATTATTATACATAAGGAAAATCCTAATGATAAAAGAAATCTGCGTTATTGATGAGGGGATCATTTGAAATAAAATTAAATTCGCGGTTCGCGCGGTAGACAGCGCTAGCATTCTCCCCGACGGGAAGCGGTCGGCCAATCAGCGCGCAAGTGCGCGTGGGCTCGAGGGGGGCACCGCGGCAGGCCCGTCAGTGTCATCAGTCAGTAAGCAGCAAGCACTCGTGGAGGATTGTTCGCGTCCGATGCGCATGAGATCGCGTGCGAAACCGCGTAGTCCGCCCGCACGTAAATCCGTAAACCCGTCGACGATTTAGTTGGTTCGCCCGCGATGAGCACGTCGGCGATTGACGTGGTCGCGTCGGCCGCGTGAACACGAAGACGTCCAGTCGCGGCGGTTAGTGTGTGACCAGGTATACACAGTTTGGTGTGCGTGCCTAAAAGGGAGTGTCGTTAACCTCGTTCAACAGTTCGGATAGGGAGAGAGTCGGCGAAGGAGCCCGCGAGAGCCGCTGATCCCCGAGAAGCCGCGTAGCTGTCAGGACACATCGCGAACGGAACGGTTACGGTCGCTCGATCAGAATGTCGGCGTCGATCGCGTCGTCGTCGTCGTCGTCGTCGTCGTCGTCGTCCCCGGAGGCGCGACAGTGAGAAAAGAGGAACGCGACGCGTGTGTGTACGCGGCGGCGGGGCGGTGATAACCGGAGGTTTTGTAGTCACCGAGGTGATACAGCTACAGGGTGAGTCAGCCCGAGTGTTTTCGGAATCCCGTCGACGAGATTTAGCGAGCGCCCAGGAAAATGGCGGACCTCGAGGCGGTGCTGGCCGACGTCAGCTACCTGATGGCCATGGAGAAGAGCAAGAGCACACCGGCAGCCCGTGCCAGCAAGAAGATCGTATTGCCCGACCCGAGGTATGTCTGTATATGTGCTCAGCGGTAATACGCGTCGAATCGCTGCCGTGCTTCTCGCCGATCCGACCACCCTGTCGGGCCACTCTCTCGCTTCCTAGCGATGGGAACGATGCACTCATGAATAGTGCGAACGTTCCGAATATGTTTTACGATATGCGTATCTTCCGTGGTTGGGTAAAACGAGACGGTACTGGATTTTTATATTTATAAGGATTCACGAGACTCTTTCGATTGGTTGATCCTCTTCGTAATAGGATTGGCTTTATTAATAGGTTGAGACGTGAGACTTAAAATACGACGACTTAACTTAAGCCTTAGCCTGTTGAAGGACACACGGTGCGCAACATAAATAAAGTTTGTTGGACATACGTGGGTACTCGTAAACACTAGTAGTATTTTCATATCCAAAGTGCCCCTTCGCCTGTCAGGATTGATATTCAAATCAGCTGACATTCCAATGTTTGTTGTCGTTCCTTGGTACTTCAAAAAATAATTTATTTTACTCGTTGTATCTGTGGGTTAGTTCATTTGTTCCTGCAATCTTATAAATTCCGTAAACAAAAATCAATCTAAAACCACCGATAATTAAAACATCGATCAAAACGGAAGGTCCGCGAGAAATACGTGACTCGAACGAATGAAGACATGCTAGCATTTTGTTCAGAGTCGATGCAGAACTTTTTTCATCACGAACGATTTTCAAAAACGCATCACAGCGAGTTTATACAATTTTCAGGGTGGGAAATTGCTGACTAATCATTTTACTCCCGTCGACAGTTTCTGGTGTTAAGGGTGTTCGGATTCATCGCGCATTTCTGAAATGTTAATCGAGTTAGTCCCATCGCTGTGCTTCACCACGTTTCCTGCCCCTCCTCGTTCCCTCGGCGAGGTTCTTCCTTGTCTGGCACGAGTCCGGTGTCCTGGTTCCCCTTTGTTTCATCCCACACACCTACACATATTCTCATTCACGATTGGTAAAAAGAATATAGACAGGTACGAGAATAATGCGTTTAAAATAAATTTTAA